TCCTCCCACCTCAAGCCGCACCTCCATCTCCTACCGACCAACCTCATTTCGCCCCCTTGACCTGTCCGTCCTCCCTGGACTGACCTATCCCCTTCCTAGCTCCCTACCTACACTCACCTTTCTTGGCCCCATCCCCGCCTCTTCGACCTGTTTGTTTCTTCTCCACCTATCCTCTCCTCTGTCCCTCTTCTGTCCGCCTCCCACTCTCTCCCTATTTGTTTCGGGACCCCCTTCCCCTCCCCCTTTTCTGATGAAGGGTCTAGGCCCGAAACGTCAGCCTCTCTGCTCCTATGATGCTGCTTGGCCTGCTGTGTTCATCCAGCCCTGCACCTTGTTATCTAACTTGAACTGTTTGCTCCTGCTTCTGTAACTAATCAATAATTTTTGTTGTGTTAGTAGGAAAAAGTCTGATTGTAATGCAAAAGATCGATACTTTTCCATTGGAACATTCTGATGGTGTCAATTTTGGCCACTTTTGGAATACTATCTGCAATTCTAGTCTCCGTGCTATAGGAAAGATGTTGTGAAACTAAGAAAGGGTTCAGAAAAGATTTACAAGGATGTCGCCAGGGTTGGAGGGTGTGAGCTTATAGGGTGAGGCTGAATAGGCTGGGGCTATTTTCCCTGGAGCATCAGAGGCTAGGGTGTGACCTATAGACATTTAGAAAATCATGAGGGTCATGGATAGGGTGAATAGCCAAGGTCTTTTCCCCTGGGGTGGGGGAGTCCAAAACTAGAGCACATAGGTTTAAGGTGAGAGGAGAAAGATTTAAAAGGGACCTAAGAGGCAACTTTTTAATGCAAGTGCGTGTATGGAATGAACTGCCAGACGAACATTTAAAAGGCATCTGGATGGGTACATGAATAGGCAGGGTTTAGAGGGAAAGGGGCCAAATGCTGGCAAATGGGACTAGATTAATTTGGGATATCTGGTCAATGTGGATGAGTTGAACTGAAGGGTCTGTTTCCGTGCTGTACAGCTCTATGACTATGACTGTCTGACTCTATAATTCATCTCTGCAAGTACCTGGACATAAAGAGTGTGCTCCAAGTGAAATGATTCCAAACAAATGTACATGTTCAAATGCATTTTTTAAATAATCAGTTTTTATGTTGCTCAGGTAATTTGGATTTGTATACATCACTCAACGTGCTCTTTTGATGAGCAATGGTGGTCCCATCTAACCTCCTTTTATACATTTCAGGTATTTAACTGAAATGTCATGCTTTTTAGGGATTTGTGTTTTCATAATTATTCAAAGACTGAGAGTTGATTGTCTCGACTTATCTGAATACTTGGCTTTTCGCTTAAGAAATCCATGATCCTTGGTTATTTTAACACTTGCCAAATAGAAACACGTTATCCCCAGTCATGTGTTTTTTTTCTGTTGAAAATTACTAAACTTGTTAATTCACTCAGCTGAATATTAAGTTAATGGCTTTCTTTGGACCTTTCTTTCTCCAGGCGCTAACCAGTGGTCGAGACCAGGAGGGACTCCATCGTCTCCTAGCTATGAAAACTCACTTCACTCACTGGTGAGGCAGACCAGAACTTCTACTGTCTTTGTGCTGTATTGTGATTTTAATTTGGAAAGTTTTACATCTGATAGATAGCTATGCTGTTTGGAAAAAAGGATGTCATTCCATTTTTTGCAGTTTCCATAGGAACAAATGATTTGAAGAAAATGAAGAATAGAGGAAATGAAGGCTATATCTCTGTTCTTTATTTGTCAGCTCACTCTTGAGACTTGCATACTGTATTTGCTTTTCTCTATATTAAAGATAATAGAGTTATTAATGATCCGTTAAGTCAGTGGACAGGGAGTTATGAAGGCATAAAGCAGTTATGAAGGCATGTGGGATGGTAGCCTTTTTCAGCCAAAGCATATGGTTGAAGAGCAGGAAGGTTATGCTGGGACTCTATAAAACATTGGTTTGGGCAGCTAGAGTATTGTGTGTAGTTCTGGAATCCAGTTGTAGATGGGATATGATTACATTGGAAAGGGTGCAGAGGAGACTTACCAGGATGTTGCCTGGGCTGGTGAGTTTTAGTTATGAAGAGAGATTGGATAGACTGGGGTTGTTCTCCCTGAAGCAGGGGAGACTGAGGGGGATATGATTAAGATGTATAATGTTATGAGGGGCATAGATAGGATATACAGGAATGAAGGATCACTGATCAGGGGCATAGACTTAAGGTAAGGGCTGGAGTTTTAGAGAGGATGTGAGTAAACATGTTTTCACTTAGAGGTTGGGGGCAATCTGGAACTCACTGTCTGTGAGAGTGGTAGGGACAGAAATCGTCATAACATTTAGGAAGCATTAAGACGTGCTTGTGATGCCAAGGCATACAAGACGATGGGGGCAAGTGCGAGAAAATGGAATGAGATTGGTTATGTGTTGTTTTTGACTGGACCAGACTTGCTGTAGACCTCTATGACTCTATATCCTTGCTGGTTTATTTTCTTCAAATATCTGTCTAATTTTCTTTTGAAATTATTGAGTATCTCTGCTTCCGCAACATTCATAGACAGTGAGCTCTAGGTCAGTGCTACTTGCTGTGAAAAGAAAGGATCATACTGACATGGCTCTCATGTTTCTTGCCTAAAGCCTTTAATCTGTATCTGCCCTTGTAACATAGGTTAATGGGAACAGATGTTTTTTGTTAACCAGGTCTAAACCTGCTACAATCTTGTGAACCTCTATCTGATCGCTCCTCAACCTCTTTTGCTTCAAGGAGGACAAAGCAACTTCGTCAATATAATCTTATAGCCAAATTCCCTCATGCCTGGAATAATTCTGATAACCTCCTCTGAAAATTCTTAAGGATTTTCATAGCCTTCTTGAAATGTGGTGACTAGAACTGGGTGCAGTACTCATGCTGTGGCAAAACCAGAGCTTTATAAAAGTTCAGTATAACTTCTTTCCTTTTGACCTCAATACCTCTATTTATGAAGTGCTGAATTTCATGTCCTTTGCTGATTGCTCTCAATGTGTCCTTCCAAGTTCAGAGAGTTTGCAAATGAATTCCTGAGGCCCTTTGTCCCTCCACATGCTTTCAAACTGTGTCATTAAGTACGTATTGCTTCTCCCTCTCCCTTCTACCTCTCACTTCTCTGTATTAAATTGCATTGCCACTCTGATAGATCTCATTTTCACTGTTTGGTGTACCTCCAAATATTGTATAATCAGTAAATTTTGTAATTTTACTCTTTTTTGATAAACAAGTGATTTAAACATTGAGATCCCAGTACTGACCCTTGAAACACTATTGTCAATAAGATTCCAGTTTGAAAAGAACAACCATTTACTCTGAATCACTGTTTCCTGTCTTTGAACTAGTTTCTTTAATCCTCGCTGTTAATGATCCTCCTGTTTCATGGCATAGAGCTTATTGACCCAACCATTAATGTGGCATTTTGTAAAGTGCTTTATTAACATTCATATAGGCAACATCCTCTGCACTCTTCCAACAACCTTCTGTTACTCAATAGAACATTAAAAAATGTTAGATCAGTCAAATACAATCTGCCTTTTACAAAACCATACTACCTCTTAATTAACTCAAACCTCTTCATGTACCTTTTAATTATTTACCTGACTGTTGTTCCTGAAACCCAACTTACTACTAATGTTAAACTGAATGACGTGTAGTAGGAATGTTCTTGCATCCTTTCTTGAATGAGAGACCATAATTCGTTGTGTTTCTGTAGTGTAGTGGTTATCATGTTTGCTTCACATGCAAAAGGTCCCTGATTCGAAACCTGGCAGAAACAGCAGGGTTTGCCCCTTGGTTACCAACGATAGGCTTCTGCATTGACATAGACAGGGTCAGTTTAGCTCAGTTAGCTGGAGGGCTGGTTTGCAAGAGTAATGCCAACAGTGTAGGTTCAATTCCTGCACTGGCTGAGGCTACCATGAAGGACTCTCCTTCTCAATCTCCTTCCTCACCTTAAACTCACCACCAGTCGTCCGTCTCTCTCTCTCTCTCTCTCTCCAGGTCTGGGTGAGGATATCTAACTCCCTTGTCCTCCCATTATTATAGAAACCGGTGCTTATGTTAGTAAGACCACATAAAATAAATTTCCTGTAACTTCATTCCTCAGTTCTTGCCAAGTCCTCAGTCATATGGTGGTTAGTGTCCCCACCTGTCACGCGGGAGACCATGGTTCAATTCCCTGCGAGGGAGACCCCAAGCGTTTTGTGCCTGGAACTCGCCGCCAGGGGAGGTAGTGGAAGCAGATACTACAGTGACTTTTAAAGGGCGTCTTGACAAATACACAAATAGAATGAGAATAGAGGGCTATGGTTACCCTGGAAGGGTAGGGCGTTTTAGTTGTGATGGGCAGCATGTCGGTGCAGGCTTGGAGGGCCGAAGGGCCTGTACCTGTGCTGTAATTTTCTTTTTTCTTTGTTCTTAATAATAGGAACAATAGTAGGCTGTTCGGCTCCTCGAACCTTCTCCAGCATTCGCTAGAATCATGCCTGGTCCAACATTCCTCCTGCACTTTCCTGCCCTTTCCCTGTAACCCTTAATTCCGTTACTGTTCAAGAATCAATCCATCTCAGCCTTAAAAATACATAAGGACTCCGTACCATCAGCTCTTTGTGGCAAGAAGTTCCAAAGGCTCTCAATCTCCTAAGAAAGGAAATTCCTCCATATCCCAGTCTCATCTCTCATTACCCCAATGAGAAGAGTCCCAACCTGCTCAGCCTTTGCGCATAAGACCATCCCTGCATACTGGTGATCATCCCAGTGAACCTTCTTTGAACTGCCTTCAATAAAATTAAATAAGGGGACCAAAACTGCCCACTGTACTGCTGATGTGGTCCCACCAGTACCTTGTACAGTTGCAGTAAAACATCCCTGTTCTCATACTCCAACCCTCTGAAATACGTCCAACATTCCATCAGCCTTCCTGATTACCTGCTGCGCCTGTGTGCTGGCTTCCTGTGTTTTGTGTACCCCCAAATCCCTTTGGGTTTCAACTTTCTGCAGTTTCTCTCCATTTAAATCAGGTTGTTCTTTTGTTCTCCCTTCCAAAATGAGCAAGTTCACATTTTCCCACAATATACTCCTTTCGCCAACTTCTTGCTTACCTAACCGATCACAATATCTCTGTAAACTATATGTGTCACACTCACAACTCCCTTTTGACCAATTTTAATGTTGTTTGCAAATTTGGCTGCAGTACATTCACTTCCTTCCTCCACGTCATTAATGTATATTGCAAACAATTGGAGTCCCAGCACTGATCTGTGTGTAACTCCAACCTGAAAAAGAATCCCTTATCCCCACTCACTGTTTCCTGCCTGTGAGCCAGTTCTCTATCCCAGCTAATATACTACCTCCAGCACTGTGGCCTTTCATCTTATGACTTAACCTTTTGTGAGGTAATTTGTCGAGCGCTTTCTGCAAGTTCAAGAAAATACATCTACTGGTTTGTTTTGAAAAATATATGTGTACCTTAAGTTCCATATAAACAGTAGCTTGATGCATTTTATGGTAACTGTGTTTCAGATTGTATTTCGTTCAATTTTTTTAACATGCTTTCAGTAAAAGGAGTAAAAGGCAAAAGGGAATTCTGAAATCCTAAATACTTTCTCGGTAACAATAACTGCGTACTTTTTTGATATATAATTTGAATTTTTATTTTAAATGATCACTTTTAAAACAATTCAAGTTACTAAAGTATTTGCTTCTGTCAGAACTCCAGCAGCCTTGAACGAGCTCAGCAGTGAACCTTCTTGCTGATTCTCAGTTGGGCAATTTTGTGTCAAATGATCCTCCTTTTAGCAATTATTTCAGTTTTCCAGTTATTTGGCTACTTTTATATATTGCTCAACCCTTGTGTTTCTTTTTGATGCAACTTGATTCTTTAATTGTTGTGTCTTCTGATAAAGTTGCCCAATTTTTCCTATTTCAACTTTGAGACTCTCAAGGCCAGACCGGATAAGCTACTTATTTATAAATTAGCTGGGAGTAGGAGTAGGCCACTTAGCCCCTTGAGCTACTTTACCATTCAGAATATTCATGGCTTATTTGCAACTCGACATTCTCATATAGGCCTAGGTCCTATGTACATATTCACACCTGTAAATAGAATAGAGCATGAGATTATGGGACCTTAAGCCATCCTGGTTTTACCTTGGGATATGGCCCTCGCACTCGTAGCCTTGAGTCCAAGGAGCACAGACATGAACATTTCTGACAAACAAATGGTATGGCTATCTGTTGACAGATCTGGCTAGGCCATATTAAGCACCATCACTCTCCTTTGATCATCCTGGAGAATAAAGGTAACCTTGGCTTCTCTTTTCATAATCAGCAGTCTACCAAAACCCCTCACCACTTTCAACTTCAATACATATGTGACAAGGTCATGGATTCGAGCATATGTTTGACTGCTTCTGCTGCTTGCCCTGTTCCTGTTGATTAGCCTGTCAAATTGAGGACATTGTGTTTCCTCATCCAATATGTGATTGAAACCTCACCTTGTGTTTATACAGTATATTATTTTTGATATGACTTTTATGGTTGAACATGTTTATTTGAATTGGTGTTGGGAGAGAAAAGCTGTATATGTATTATCTGGAGGAATCCATCTTTCAATACAGACAATCTGACCATTCTAGGTGCCTGCACCAGAAAATACCTCAAGTTTTTTTGAAATGTTAATGTATGCATTCTTGCAATAAGACATACTGATAAAACACATTATCTTTGATGTCATATGGTAGTCCAGAAGTTGAGTATTGCATGTTGTGCAAAGACATTTTTTATCAAAGCTTTTCATCTTGTTTTCATTAGAATACTTAGCCACAATGCCAGTTCAAGAGGAAAACTAGAATTTATACTGCTTAAGAAAAGAGAGTTCTGGTTGGTTGGCAATGCACTCTGATTGACAGAGAGTCAAACTTACTTAAGTCTTTAAAAAACATGAGATACTAGAATTTCAATCAGTGTAAATTGTTCTTTGTAAGGCATCAGAAGTGTTGCAAGAATAAAAGGAAATTTTCGTGAAGATTTTCATCTTGCACTCAATCAGAAAATTTCATAAGGATACAAATTCAAGTCAACCTGCATGGTTTAAAATTTAAACTAAGCCTAGCTAATTACTGTCAATAGCATTAATGAGAGTGCATTCTCCATGGAAATGCTTCTACTAATCAGACTCCACTTGCCAACCAATCAACATACTGCTCATGTAGTAAAAATGTTGGCTTTCCCCTTGAATTTGTATTCTTGTGAAGTATTCTGCTGAATGCATCACAAAAAGCTTCAACAAAATGTATCTTTTCAATAATACCTTTGTTTTTTGAAGAAGAACATTTTGCGCTGATTAAGATTACAATATGCCATTTTTTTGATGCCCTTAGCAAATGTGGCATACTAACAACTCGTAGCTTGAATGTTGGGGGGGAGAAAAGCCTTGAGTTGCTCACAAAAAAGACCCTTAAGCCAGCAAAAGAACTTCAGGTTGGATTACCAGACAATTGTTGATGAGGTAAATTGATTAAAGACTTGAAGAAGGAAGCTTCACTGGTGAGTCTGATTGTTCTTTAGTTTGCAATACCAATATTTTGTACAGCAGTGTTAGTCTGGTTCTTGAAACTTGAAATCCTAAAATATATCTAAGAACTGTGTGTTTCATTTTGAATGCTGGCATAAGTCAACTTTTGTCTGATTATCATTTAGAAATAATTGTTACTGGTGTTAAGGTTAACAATATATACTGACAGCTTAAAGTTACTTTTCCAAGTAGACATCAGAGCATTGTGACCAACTCGTATGACAAAAACAGTTGTAAACTAAAACAAAGCCATTAAAAAAAATAATTGAGACTGCTGGAAATCTGAAATAAAAACAGAAATTGCTGGAGAAGCTCACCAAGTCTGGTAGCATCTGTGGAGAGAAAGCAGAGTCAATACTTTGTGTCCAGTGACCCTTCATCAGTTGTAACTTTTTTTTGTTTGCGTTGTCACGTAACTCAAAAAGTCACAGTTTTCAGTTTTGAGGTGGAATTGATCTGCTAACGGAAACTATTGACTTGTAAATACACATCTGAGACAATATTCACACAATAACCTTCAGCATGGTGGAAGTACGCACACAGGACAACTTACAGTGTTCAAGTTTGGAGACTTAGCGATTAATTCTCTTAAAAATAAATGCTAGGTTGTTCACTATTACTTATCCTGTTCAATGCCTCCTTCATTGTTGTACTGAATCCAAATGTTGTGGTATTCCTAAGTGTTTATTTCAGAAATTTGAAGTTCTCAAAGTACTGGACTTGTCATCACCAATTGTTTAATCCAGAGTGCAGTCTTAGGGACGTATCTAGTAGGCAGCTGGCTTGTTTTTCAATGTGCTGAGCAATAGATTGGAGTACTTTCTATCTACATCAAATTCATAGCTTAATCTTCGATCTTTTATAGCAACTGAAAAAGACCTGAGCTAACCTTCCTTTTATTCTATCCCACTTTATCTGAGGTAAAACCTAGCTTCTGCCAGAAGCTTTGGATCCTAACATGAATCATAGATTCCACCGCCCCCCCCACCTGTAACTTGAAGTACCATTAAGAACATCCTTAAACTATACAGAGCCACAATGTTGCACTTGTCAACCTATCCATTGATGATATCATTTTTCAAAATTGTGAATTGAATGATAATAGATCATTGGGTGGACTTGGCAATACAACATAAATTTTTACAAGAAATGTCTCATTTCATTCAGAAGTTCCAGGAATAATTGTTAAACAGTGCTAATAC